GCCAGACAAAGACCCTACAGGAAAAGAAAACCATGGGACAATATCCTCAGTGAAAACAGATGCAAAAATCCATAATAAAGTACTAATAAATTGAATTCAACAGCACATTAAAAGGACTATGCACCATTACTATTTGGGATTCATACCTAGAATGCAAGGATGATTTAATATACAAAAATAAGTTAATGTAATATACCAAATTAACAGTGTGGAGGATAAAAATCACATGATTATCTCAATAAAGGTAGAAAATTATTTGACACTATTCAACATCCTTGGATAAAAACTCTCAACAAATTAGGTATAGAAGGAATGTACATCAATATAATAGAGATCAGATATGGAAATTCTAGAGCTAACATCATACTTAACAGTGATGAGCTGAAAGCTTTTTACTAAGATCAGGAACAAGATAAGATTGTCCACTCCTACCACTTCTATTCAACACACACATAGTACTGGAAGTCTTAACCCAAGAAATTAGGCAGGAAAAGAAAATAAAAGAAATCCAAATCAGAAAGGAAGAAGTAAGATCATTCCTGTTTGCAGATCATATGATTGTATACTTGGGTGTCAAAAAAGTGTATACACATTTTAAGCAATATTATCTGTGTTATTACCTTTCAAAGTTGAATTGGATTATAATGGCAATGTATAGTATGATGTTTACTTAAAAGATGGCATTTACAAATAAATGCTAAGTCATCATGTGGCAGGCAGGACAATCAAAAAAAATGGCAAAAGCACAGTTGTTTGAGGAGCACAAGACAATTTTGAAGTGATATTTGAAATTCCACCTTTATTTCTACATATGGACTGCCTTAAAGGATGTGAAAACGAGGTGCACTGGTGGTAACTTCTAGAAGAAATTGAAATAGCATGTACAGTGGTACAGGTGGGCACTTTGATCCACGTTGCTCAAACATCAGAAGTGTCATGCTGATGATAACCACTTTGCCTCTTATAATTGCAGAAGTCAAACTAACTGGTATTTGTCTTTTGTTATCAATATATATTATTACAACTTTAATACATTTTTTCCTTTCTTAAAATGTGCATATTTTTGTCACCCTCTGCAAATAGAAAATCCTAGAGAATACACACACACACAAAAAAGTTTTACCTAATAAATGAATTCTGTGAAGTCTCAGCATACAAAATCAACAAACTTCCTCCACCCTGTAATACATGGATTGTGACTCTTATTTATGTTTGCTTACAACCAGTATTCATAGATATTATCTCTTCAAATAAACAGATAATATGTGTAATAAATTTGTAATTGGGATAAAAAGTATCAGCTTCTATAATGGAAGAGAAGAAATGAATAAGCAATACCATCTATTATGGATTGAACTGTGTCCTTCCAAATTCATAGTGAAGTCCAAACCCCAGTATGTCATATAAGTTTATTACAGAGGTAATGAAGTTAAAATTACACCCTTAGGATAAGTCCTAATCCAATATTACTGAAATATTTACAAAAGGGGGAAATTTGGAGACAGACATTCACATGAAGATGGTCATCCACACCAAAAGAAAAGATCTAAAAGTAGGTTAGACACAGATAAAGGAATACTGATGGTTTTTAAGAGAATTCTGAAGAAATTATAGAAGTTGCTACATAAGGAGAAAAAGATATGGAAAATGTGGAAAAGATGTTGAGTCATGGAAGATAGAATGAGAAGATTTAAATGTACTTCCAGAAGAATAGAAAAAATGAAAGTGGTGAAGCCTATTATTAAAACAAATAATAACTAATATTTTCCTATTGATTTTTTTAAAAACCTAAATCCTCTGATTTAAGATGAAAAATAAGTCTCAAAGAAGAAAAGAAAAATAAGTCTACATTTATATATGCCACAGTAAAATTGCAAAATACTAATGATAAAAAAAGTCTACAAAACAGGGATAAAAGGTTTCTCAAATACAATGCCAAAAATCCAGCCTATTTTTAAAAATACAAAAATTAATAAAATTTTTCGTCATCAAAATCAAAAACTTTTCTTCAAAAGATATTGTATTTTAAATAAAAGGAATTGGGAAGAATTCTCAAGTTAGTTAAAAACAATTTCCCATATTTTTAATCAAAAAATATTTGGACATTTACTAAAGAAAATACATAGGTAGCAAATAAGTATATGACAATATGCTCAGGGAAATATTAGTGTTTAGGGAAATGCACATTAAAACCACAATGAGATAGCAATATGCATCTATTAGAATTTCTAAAATTAAAAAAGAATAACCATACCCAGGAAAATTTCTAGAAAATGCAAATTATTATTTAGATACAGAAAGCAGATGAGTGATTGCTTAGAAAATGGGGGAGCTAACCAACATAATAAAGCAAAGCAGAGTAAAGGGAAAAAAATTAAAAGGTGGGTTGGAGATAAAACATAATAATAAGACACATAAAATGAGAATTGTAAAAATATGGCCTAATATGTGTATGTAAGCAATCAGTCCTAACTCCATCTCAGTTCTACTGCCTGGATGGCTAACTGACATACCTGGTCCCATCCCTACAGTTTCTAATTCAGTATGTCTAAAGTGGGATATGAAAGTATATATAAGTTTTCCCCACATGATTCCAACGTTCAACCATGTTTCAACCCCATAGTCGAAATTTTATACACTTATGTTCTGTAAAATATAATTCAACCCTTGGGTGGTGCCTGTGGCTCAGTGGGTAAGGCGCCAGCCCTGTGTACTGAGGGTGGTGGGTTCAAACCTAGCCCTGGCCAAACTGCAACAAAAAAATAGCCAGGAGTTGTGGTGGGTGCCTATGGCCCCAGCTACTCAGGATACTGAGGCAAGAGAATTGCCTAAGCCCAGGAGTTGAGGTTGCTGTGAGCTGTGATGACACAGTACTCTACCAAGGCAATAAAGTGAGACTCTGTCTCTAAAAAAAAACCAAAAAAAAAAAAAAAAAAAGAAAGAAAAAAATATATATGTATATAATTCAACCCCTATAAACTATCTTGAAGTCTTCATTATGGTGGTGTCATTTAACAGGCCTGTTTTAACATTACCAAGTTAAAATGTCAGCATAGTTTTATCTTATTTTTGCTTTTCAATTATATTTAAACAACTAGCCTTGGACCTAAATATGAGCCACATCCAAACCAGGGGTGAGTAAAGAATTACTAAAGTTCAAGGACAGAGTTATGATGTTTATTGCGCACACTATTTGATAATGTTTATACAAAGATATTTAATGAATTGGGATTTCTGGCCAAGTCAATATGGTTTGATCAAAATATCATACACTCCCTTTAAGGATAAAGCCTAGAGTAACTTAAATGTATGGAGGGAGGAAAATACGTAAATAAGACAAAATAACTATCTTAATCATCTCAGATGGCATGATTGATAAAAGGAATACATTTCATTAACAGAGGGACCTACATTTTTTTAGAATATTATAGGAGTGCACACATTTTGGTTACATAACTTGCCTTTGTACAGTCTGAGTCAAAGTTGTAAGTGTGCCCTCCACCCAGATGGTATGTATTGTACCCATTAGGTGTGAGTGTACCCATCTCCTCCTCTTCCCTCCCACCTGCTTGGTTTCTGTTGTGCGTTTCATTTTCATTTTTATCATGTCTTGTCCTGCTGGAAAGCAAACAGATTTATTTTTTCATAATTTTTTATAATTAAAAATATTTTAATAACAAAAATAATATACACATCCCCAATATTTACTCCACAGCAAAATGGAGGAGAGGATCATGTCATCCCATGGCCATTCTCTTAGCATGTAGATCATATTTTATACACTCTCTAAGACCTCCATAGTGCATATTTTGTTAGTTATATAGTCCATAGACATTGGTTATTTGATAAATACACCACAACAGAATATATTCCGTAAAATACACAAATCCAATTTATAACATCTGCAAAACTATTAGACATTAAATACCAACACCTCTGTAGAGATATTGTGAGTTCAGAAGAAGCCAATGTCCTAACACACTCATTTTCTCTCTTGAGAGCATAACAAAGAATATAACCCCATTTTTATTAAATAGTATAATTCTTATTATAATCTTATATTGTATTAGCTAGCTGATTAAAAATAGAAAATGGGAACTGAGAAGTAGGAATCTTACAGATATTAAAATAAGAATTTAGGGAAAGACAATTCAAACACTGTTAGAGTGAATGTAATTTGTTATAATTTGACTATCTATGAATAATAAAATGCACAAACCCTTTGACCTGGAGATTTCATTCAAAATATTATCCTATAAATACACTTAAACAAACACACAGAGACATATCCATAAGACATTTTCTATGTGGTATTGTTTATACCACAAATATAATTAAAAAACAAAACTTAAAACAATCTAAATGCCCATCACTAGAGGGGTGGTGAATTAAATTATGACATAACCATAAAATGAAATTTTATGTAGCCATTAAAAAGAATGAGGTAGTTCTGCTTGTATTGTTATTAAAAGCTCTCCAAGACTTAGATTATTAGGTACTTATAGGTACATAACAGTGTGACAATGCTCTCATTGGTGTCTTGACAAAGATATGTGTGTATGTAAATAGTTATATAAATGTACACATAAACCATAGGCATACAGATCTGTCATATGTACATAAACATTTTCTGAAAGAATATCTCAATATAACAAATTATTGATGATTTTTTTTCTGCAGTTATTTATCCAGGAAAGTCAGTTTTTTCATCATTTACTGCACAACTTGAATATTTTATTATGAGCATGTTTTCTTTGTAATGATAACATCGGTTCTTAAGAGAACTAGCTGGTAGCAGCTAAGAATCTAAACTTCCATTTATACAAGCATATGAATACAAATCCATTAGAATGTCTTTGTGTTCTAAGAACCTTGAACAAACTAAATTCATTAAAATTGTCTTTGCCTTCTAAGAACCTTTATAAAGCTAAATTCAACATGAGTCTTCTTTTCTAGAATCAAAATAATAATTACAATGTATCTTGATTCATTTTTCTTCATGCTGGATTCCAGTAATTTATAAAGTATGGAGCCCCGTTAAATCAACTTCATTTTGTAATTCTTGAGGCATCTTCACCTTGTTTGTAGTATCATAGAGTGGATTATTTTTCTCGGTGTAGCTGGCATAAGGCTGCATTTCATCCTAAGAAAGAACTCAAACTCAAAATCACTTCAAAAAATTATTACAGAAACTCCTGGTGCCCACAGCTTCAGTATCTATCAAGAGTGTTTGTATTTGTGTCCCTGGGCTTGTATGAACATAAGAACAGGCTTTATTCTAATATTTTATCAAAAAACTACTTGTTAATTACTTAAATCTGAGTCAGATGATGGTTGAATGAAAGTGGAAATGGAGGTGAATGTAATGATACAAAAAGAATGTTATGAAGGATCTGAAGATTGAGTAAGTTGAGGGTGATAAGAGATGAAGGAGCAGGATATGTTTGAAGCTGAGTAAGATAGAAATGATGGTGGTATTGGAAAAGGGAAGTCAGGAATTAGAGATGCTTAAATATGGGGGGTGGGGGAATACTGATTCAGTTTCTCCAAACATTAAATTCCAAGGGTGTCATTACAAGTGTACTTGGTAGGTAATAAAATAACTACACCCACTACCATTGTAAAATCAGAACTGTTTGTTTTTCAAATGAAACATTAATATTGATACAAATTATGTTACTAGGTTTTAAACTATGTAGTCTAAAATTTGCAAATATTCTTTTTTATCTTACCTCTTCAAAAACTGGAGGAGCTTCTGTTTTGTTCACTTTACATTTTCTAGAAAAATAAAATAAGCTGGAGTGAATGGACAAAGCATCATTGTTTACCCCGGAAATGGAACCAAAAAATATGTAAGTATATATATTTATGTATATATATATGATTCCATATATACATACACACACATATGCTATTGACTATTGTGGTTCATTTTCATAAAAGCCATAATAAATCAGAAAGGAACTACAAGACATGAGTGAAGAATACTGTTTGTGGTTTATATACCCAAATGAGAAAATTCTGGATTGAGGAAAAGGAAGTGTAATTATGCAATAGGAACTAGATGCACTAGAATACATGTGACACCTCCTCTTTGGGTCATGAAAATAATTGTAGTTGTTTTTTCAAATAAAAAAATTAGCATGTACTATCTTTCCTAAGAGCCTACCCTAAATGGCCTAATTCACCATGCTTGCATGCCTGAGCAACGTAGCCAAATCCCTCTCATCATTCAAAGTATTCCCAGTCTAAGGTCTTCAGTATACTCTTTCTGATTTATGAGAAATTTGATGTTAATATCCTAATTTCCACAGTCAATGCCATATTTCTGGCTCTTTAAGCCAATAAAGCCAAAGAAGAAAAAACATTCATCAGTCAATACCTGCAGCAATTGATTTTCAAAAACCCAAAGGATCCCACGATGATCAAAATCAAAACAATGAGGATAATAATAATAATACGTAAGTTTGCTAATCGGTTGGTATCTGTAACAGTGAACACAAACATATATGGTTGAAATGTGGTGCATACAAACAATGAAATAGTATTGCTAAGAATATATGAACTACCACTCCATGAGAAGACATGAAGAGCCTCTGAATGCATGTTACTGATGGAAAGAAGCCAAATTTGAAAGGCTACTTACTGTGTGATTCCAACTATGTAACACTCTAGAAAAGACAAAACTATGGAAAAAAATCACTGGTTGCTAGGAGTTGAGTGGAAGAGAGAGGTGAGTAGACAGAAGACAGAGGATTTTGAATGCAGTAATACAATTCCCTGTGCCACTATGAAAGTAGATACATGCCATATGCCATACATGTGGGAAACCCATACAATGCAGAACAGCAATGGTGAAGCCCATAGTAAACTACAGTTTGTAACAATGAAGTCTAGGTCATCAATTATTAGCAATGCAACACTGTTGCACGGTGCTTGGGTAGAGGCAGCAGTTAGATGGGAACTTCAAATATTTTCCCCTTAATTTTGCTAAAACTGCTCCAAAAAAATAAAATCTATTAAAAATTAAATTTTAAATATATACATATATACATATATGTATTTCAATGCTGTCCAGAGTAGAAACCAACAAATTCAGAAAAAAGGTATATAAGGTATGGGGCAAGTGTGGGCTAAAGGTCAGGAGCTTCTTGGGAGGTCCTTCCTGGAAGTCTTCCGAGCAGGTGGCTCAGACTTCTGACTACCAGCACAGCATACTTCCCCAACTAGCAGAAAAAAGGAGGAATGACCTAGTGAAGATGCACTAGACAGACTCCAGACTCAAAGATCCAGACATCATGGACAGTGGAGATGAGAGGATAGACTTGAGATGTATTAAAGGAATTCTCAACAAGGTGTTCACCTGCACACTCACACACACACACACACACACACACACACACACACTCCTCTCTCCCAGAACACTGACAGTCAGGCTTCTCTCTCCCAGCCAACAGACTGGTAGGTTACTTTCTGCAAGAGCCTGAACCGACCCAGAAAAAAGGCCTTCAGATACATAACAAATCCTCATTTCAGTAAAAATCATTTATCTCCTTTTCACTATGTTCAAGTTAACTAGTTTACAAGACCCAGCTTCAGATAGGAGAGCTTCCAATCAGCTCTTTGGTGCTCACTTTGAAAAGAATCTATTGGCCAAGGATTACCAAAGACTTCAGAAAAGTCTCATAAATGAA